AAAGGGGCTCTGGCCGTCTGTTCTTCTTCTCGTTATTATCTCGTCTTTTTTCCTCTTCCTCATCTGCTTCGTCTTCATTTACTCATATTTTGTATCTTTGTATTTATCTTCTTTCTCATATATGTTTTTATTTTTCATTGTATTTAACTTTTTTTTTACCATATTCATATTTTTGGACCTTTTTTTCCTCTAAATTTTACTCATCTTCGTCTTCACCCTCTTCTCCATCATTACAATAAAACTCCAAAATATTTCATGTTCATGATCATCATCAGAAAAATATTCTTTTTTATATCTTTTTTGTACATACACTCAATCTTTATCCTTATTCTAAGTTAATACATGTAACTCAAACTTGGCTTATTGCTATTTGTTCACGTTTTTTTCATAATACTTCATTAGTTTTATAAATATAGATGTCAAAAACCAAAGAGATAATCAGTTAATCAAATTTTGAGTTATTTTATAGTACAAAAAACTGGAATGAAAACCTATTATACTACCTTTATGCAATTCATATTGAAGAATATCAATGAAACATACTCAAAATAAAAGTTTTATTTATGCATATACAAACTTATGGAATATTCTCGGGTATGCTAACTTTTATTTATACATATACAAATTTATATTGAATAATCTTAATAGTTTTTTAAAATGAATCAAATCTACATATTTATTCTTGTCTATTTCACGTGCCTTTCTTTCTACTCTTCATCTATTCTGTCTTCTTCTTCTCATCCTGCACTCCAACATACATAGCTTCAACATCTAATCTAATAAACTTCACATTTAATTGAGTAAAGTCACAATTAATTCAGCAATTCACCACACACATGCTCGGTACACAGAGTCATTGGTTCTAGAAACAAAAATCCTTGCCAGGTTGAAAAATCTTGTATCTTTCTTCCATGCACCTAAAAAGCTTCTAATATGGATAGCTGAGAATTGCGACTGATGAATCGCGCCCAGTTCAGTCTTCAAGGAGCATACATTTGTAGTAAAGC